TAAAAAAAAAAAAAAAAAAAAAAAAAAAAACTAGACACCCGACAAAAAAGAAACAACCGGTTAAAAAGATCAGCAAATATCCTCCAGCTCTTTTGATCTTTTCTTGAGATCCGTAAGTGTAAATGCTCTGAATTTGTTTGTGTTTAGTGCATGTGTCTTGTGTTCATCGTTTCCGCCTGTATATCGTTGACGTCTCGCCTCGTACTAATGAATTTTTTTTTTGGCCACCTATTCATGCATCTCAAAGAATCATCGTACGCGTCTTTCTCGTATTCGCTGCGTCTGTGTTCTGCATGGCGATGAGCTGACTGGTTTGCAGGACCGAAACGCATTCCTGGAAAGCTGAAGGACCAGTTTCGAATACGGATCGGCGATATTGGGCGACAGAAAAGTACGAAAACAAGAAGGACGATGGGGAAAAGAGAAAAAGGATGAATTACAGTACTTAGGTTGCCGGCCGGTGTTACATTGTGAGCCCTCATGCGGGCAATGTCGTCGAGTGGAGAAAGCTCGCAAGGGAGCAGGCTCAGCGACGTTTTGAGTGGGACTAGTTAAGGAGCTGATCGGTGGGATATGGAGGAGTTCGTTGCCGGGGAGGTGAATGGTTTTCCCGAAGATTAATGGGTAAAGGTGGGAGAAACAATAAAATGGCTTCAAGTGGAAAGCCTCAACGAAGTAAGTTAGGCCTTGGAGAAAATCTAAGTTTATTCATAACGAAGTTGGTTGCTATGCGCAGCTCCACCGCTAAGATTGAATTGGTCTCAAATCCCCATTTTTACAGGAGTGCGGCCTTCCTCCTGTCGAGATTGGCGAATCTCGATTGCCGATGAATTGTAAAAAATTTGATTTTTTAGTTTCCTCTTTTCGATTAACATTTGGCTGCTTACATATATATTGTTTTCGTGGAGATCCTTCCGCGTGGCTTTGCCTTCTTTCTTCCTTTGTCTCAACAAGGGAGGCTGCCGGGCCAACAAATGCACGACGACGGCGCTCACTTTCCCTCTCTTTTTTATCATTTCGACGGTTTCGGCAACAGTGAGGAGTACTGGATCCCTTTTTTTCTCCTTTTCTTTCCAGTGCTTGTGCCGTTTTAGCAACGTATACTCTTGCGATTTTCATGTATCATTCGTGTCGAGCGTATTGCTTATGTATGATAAAGGTTATATCACCCAAGTTTGAGGTAATCGATGATACGACGAGTGGGCCTGCGGTTGGTTACTACTGTACGACTTAGCTGACCTAAAACCGACTCCTGGTAATATTCACGCTCTCTGCAAGTCGACCATATCGGGGAAATTTAGCAATATTTGTTGGCAGTACAATTTTCTTACTAGCGCACACTGAATACTTAGCAGTTACTAAAACTCGGATCGGCTGGTGTCTTACGCGATCAGCGAAAAATTTTTTTGTATGGAGGACCGGTAGGACTGCCCGTGCAGCCCTATATTATGGGTATGGTGAGCTTGCTTATAGATTAACGTAATTTGATATTTAAAGCAAAATATATCAGCGGAACTATCCGCTTGCTTGTCCTTGTCTGTCTCCGTCTCCACTTTCTTAAAAGAGTCGCAATTTATGCGCGAAAATGACTAATCCGACTATTTTTTCGTACCATTTTTTTTACGTACCACCGTACGAACAATTTTTTAGTGCAACATTTTTTTCTGTTTTACGGATGGATCCCTTGCACTGGGAAAATTTGGTGCTTAGGAGGAAGTAGGTGAGGAAGAGGATGAGTTCAGGAGGGACGTACGTAAGAGCTTAGGAAGAAAAAATTGATGCTTAAGAAGAGAATGATCATAGGTGTGGTAGAGCATGAGTTTAGGAGGAACGTAGGTAAGGGAAGGAAATCAAAAGAGCATTAGAATGGGTGGGAGGGAATGGAAAAAATTGATGCTTAGAAAGAGAATGATGATAAAGTTTAGGTGAATAAACGAAGTGTGGTAAATGAAGATTGAGTGGCAGTATTATCCATGTTACTCAGCTAGCACAGAAGGGCTACAGCACAACTCGGGAATTCTGCAAAACTCTTCGCTCCTC